GTTACACCATACTCTGTGATAACCGTTGCCCAATCCAAGCGGAAAGCCAGTAGTGGGAGTGGACGACGTCGTAGTTTATTCCCTCGGACTCACGGAACGAACGGACCCCTTCGAGGAACCCGGGCAAGTGACCGTAGAGTTCGCCGACCCCCGACTCCAGGGGTCCTCCAGGAAGGTGGATGACTCGAACGTTTGGAGTTATCCACTCCACCGAGTCACCGGCCGCGTCGTGCTCCCTGGTAAAGATGTCCACCGGAATCCCGGACTCGCCCATTGCCCGCGACAGCTCCCGGACGTATACATTCATACCCCCCGACTTGCCCTGTCCAGGCGCGGCCAGGGGGCAGGCATGGAACGCAATGAAAGCGGCTCGCTCGAGGCTCAAGTTCTTTTCACCACCATTCTGTAGAGGCTCTTCTGTATCCCGCCGAGGTGCGCCTTGTAGGGTTCAGGGCCGCGGAGAAAATCGAAATATCCGAGGCCCCGTTCTATGGCGTCTTTCACGCACATGGCATGGAGCAGCAGCCCGACGCTGTAGTACGAAAGGCCGGGATCGTATCCGCTATTGTACAACAGGCGCGATTCCCCGTAGTCGAAACAAAGACTGGCTGCCGCTGGCCCCCCGTTGATTTCCATGAAGAAAAGCCGCATCTGGTCAAGCTCAGCCATCCGCTCGACCAGGGCACGAAAGAATCGCTCCCTTTCCGGGGTCATGTACTCTTCTTTGTCCGCCCGGCTCATCCGCATCAACGAAAGGAACTCGTCGAAGGCCCCCAGCACTTCGTCAGGCGACGTCAGGCAGTACCAGCGCCATTCGGTTTGAGAGTCCAAGCGGCGAAGCTTCCTTCGGAGTTCATGCCGGTCCTTTTTTGAAAGTAAATCGAGGTATTCATCCCAGTTTGCAGGGAGGGCAACACCGGAAGTAACGTCCTCGTATTCCACCTCTACGCCGTAACCACGCTCGCGGGCCAGGTCCGGCAGGTGGGAGAGAGTGGGGGAGTGCTCAATCAGGGACTCGAGGCGCAACTCAGTCCAGTCCCAGTCCCCCAGGACGTCCAACAATTTGGGATAGAAGGCATCCTCAAATCCGGGACGCACCAGAAAGTCGTTATAGTCGAATGTATCGGGTGCTCCTACAAATCGCATGGCATGTCCGCTTGGCAGGGCATGCCCAGTGCCCTCCAGCCACCAGTTAATCCTAGAACTGTGAAGCCGGCCATCTCCCGTCCGCTGCCAAAGCTTTCCCACCAGACTTCCTTATCCTTCCTGCCACTGCGGAGAAAGAAAAATACTGCGACCGGGGAGTCGCGCAAAACGGAGTCCCATTTATCCTGCGATTCCCTGAAGGAAGTGATGGGGTCGACGGCCACGACTAACTGCTGCGCATGAGGTTCATAATGTTTCCCTGCTTTCTTTCGATGTTGACTTTCCGCTCTCGGCGCTGGTGATCATCCGCGCGCCCGGCTTCCGGATACCCCGCATGGACATGCAAAGGTGCTCGGCTTCCAGTTCGACGATCACTATTTCCGGCTGCAGGGCATTTAAGACCGCATCGGCCACATCAGCCGTCAATCTCTCCTGCACCTGCGGGCGCGCGCACGCGCGTCAATCTCCAGTTGCCCGGCCACGAATGCTTGCTTACCCCTACTCCGGCGATCCGGTTTCCTGGTATATATCCGATGCTGGCTTCGCCGAAGAAGGGCATCAGGTGGTGTTCGCAGACGGAGTAAAACGCTAGCCTGTTCAGTACAACCGGGTCGTTGCCGCCGACCTCAAACACCGCGTCAATGGCGTCCTCGGCCCGCACGCCCACTCCAGAGAACAGGGACTCGTACATCTTGGCAACCCGGATGGGAGTCCGCTCCAAGCCATCCCTTCGCGGGTCCTCTCCGATAGCTTCCAGAATGTCTGCCACAGCCTCTTGTATCCGGCTCAGTTCGACCGTGATTCCCCCTGGAACCCTGCAGTTTCAAGCCCCTAACTAAGTCAGGGCAACCGCTTCTACCGCCTCGAGGGTCGGTTCTACCACGATGGTTTGCGGGGCAACGCTGCTGACCGCCAGGTCTGGATCTTTCAGGCCGGTGCCCGTAAAGATGCAGACCACCCTTTGGTTGGACAGGTCAAGACCTTGCTTATGGAGCTTGACCAGTCCGGCAAAGGATGCGGCCGACGCGGGCTCACAGAAAATTCCCTCCTGCGATGCCAGCAGACGGTATCCCTCAAGAATCTCGTCATCAGAGACCATGTCTATCGTTCCGCCCGATTCGTCTCTGGCATTCAGCGCACCCTTCCAGCTTGCGGGGTTGCCGATTCGTATCGCGGATGCAATGGTCTGGCGGATTTGCCACCGGCTCTCCCCGCACAATGGGAGCGGCTCCCTCTGCCTGGAATCCCATCATCTTCGCTTTTCGCAGTGTCGCTGCGCCACCGTTCGTGGTATTCCGACGCAGTAGGCCGTGATGTTTCCTGCGTTCCCCACCGGGATGAAAAGATAGTCCGGGGCATCCCCCAGGGAGTCTACATCTCGATTGCTTGCGGTCTTCGCTGTCCCCTCCAGAGCCGTAGGGTTCACCGAGTTGACCAGCGTGACCTCATGCTTGCTGGTAAAGGTGCGAACCAAGTCCAGGGCCGTGTCGAAATTGCCATTGACCATGATGATCTTGGCCCCGTATGCCATGGCCTGGGCCAGCTTGCCCATCGCCACTTCACCGCGAGGGATTATTACCAATGCGGGCAGCCCGCTGTAGGCGCCAAAGGCGGCAGCGGAAGCACTGGTATTGCCGGTAGAGGCGCACATGATGGCGCGGCTCCCTTCTTCCAGGGCCTTGGCGATTGCCACCACCATCCCCCTGTCCTTGAACGAGCCTGTGGGATTGCATCCCTCCAGCTTGAAGTACAGTTCAGGACAGTTCAGCTCTGCAGCCATCCGGTTGGACTTCACCAAGGGCGTATCACCCTCGCCCAAGGTAATCATGGGCGTGGCATCAGTAACCGGAAGCAGGTCCCTATAGGTTTTCAGAACGCCAACGCCCATCTTTCTCCGGCGGTAATCCTTAACTTAGGGGCCGAATGATTCCTCACGGGACGTACCCTACTCCTCAATCCGGAGCATATTGCCCACCCGTCGCACAGGGTCAAGTCTCCCGATCGTCAGCAGCGCCTGCTGTACCGAGGATTCCAGCGCCGGGTGGGTCATGATCACGATTTCCGCGCTCTGGGTTTCCGCATCAGCATCCTTCTGCAGCACGGATGCGATGCTGATATCTTCGTCGCCCAGCGCCCGGGCAATCTGGGCAAGGACACCAGCCTGGTCAGCGACTATCAGCCTGATGTAATATCGCGTTCGGAGTGCATCGATTGGGCGCACGCCTAGATGCTGGGAGAGTTCCCTCGGGCCTCCGGGGACAGCACTATCCCTGACAAGTCGCGCGGTTTCCACCAGGTCTCCCAGAACCGCGCTGGTCGTCGGCCCGCGGCCGGCCCCCATTCCGTGGAACAGCACCTGTCCGCAGAGGCTTCCATGGACCTCAACTGCATTGTACACGCCATTGACGTTAGCGAGCATGTTGTCGAACGGGACCAAGGCCGGATAGACCCGCAGCTGCACTTGCTCACCGTTCTGGTCGGCTATCGCAAGGGACTTGATGGCATAGCCGAATTCTTCCGCATAACGGAAGTCCTGCGGCTCAAGGGCCGATATTCCCTGGCGGAAGACGTCATCGGGGCTGAAACGGCAGCCATAGGCCAAGGTCGCCAGAACCGTCAGCTTGTAGGCCGCGTCGATCCCTTCCACATCGTTGGTTGGATCGGCTTCGGCGTAGCCCAGCCCCTGGGCTTCGGACAGAGCATCGGCGAATGCAGTACGCTGATGGGCCATTCTGGTGAGAATGAAATTTGTAGTGCCGTTAATGATAGTCCGAATGGAGTAGACATCGTTGGCGGCCAGTTCGTTCATCAGGCAGCCAACGATGGGAATACCGCCTCCGACGCTCGCTTCAAAGAGAAGGCTGACGTGGTTGGCCCGGGCCAAGGCCATCAAGTCTGCGCCTTCCTTGGCCATCACTTCCTTGTTGGCAGAAACGACGTGTTTTCCCGAAGAAAGCGCGCGCCTGAAATAGGCTGCGGCTGGGTCGGAGCCCCCCATAACCTCAATCAGGATGTCGATATCCGGATCGTCGAGTATATCTTCCGCGTTGGCAGTCAGCATCCCCGGCGGCAGTTCGATATCACGGGGACGGCTGCGATCGCGGACCAGCACTCGCCGCAGATTGACGGGGATACCGACGCGGGCGGTAACCGTCGAGGGGTCTTGCAGCAAAGCTGAAGCGACGCCTCCGCCCACTACGCCCAGTCCCATCAGGCCAACGTTTATGCCAGTCCTGCCGCTCATTGAGTGTCGCCTACCGTGCCGGCTGGCCGGGGGCCTGGACCCGAGGCGCAGTGACAGCCACCTGGTCCGCTACCCAGTCATACAGCTTGCTGTTGAGATGCATCTGTACCGTTCCGTTGTCGGCACCTTCCCGGAGGGCTTCGTCCTTCCAGGCCTGCGTCAACTCCTGAGCCAGCTTGAATCGCATATGTTCCTCAATATCCCTCTCTCCCGGGCCGGACAGCATCTGTATTATAAAGATACCGTCCCTGGCATAGAGGGGACTGCTGGTCTCACCAGGATTCAAAGCGACGGTCCCCCGTTCTTCGTCTCCAAAGAGCAATCGGTCCAAGTTGGGGAAGGCGCCCCTGGGCACCCATCCGACATTGCCTGAAGCATCGGAATAACCAGCAGGCCGGGAAACTTCCCGGGCCACCACCTCAAATGGTTCTACTTCCAGCCTCTGCACAACCTGGTCCGGTTGCAGGTCGCTCGCTCCCGCTTCGGAGGGGTCAACGGGAAGCCGTATCCAGCGTACCTCGACGTGCTCCTGTGAATTTTCGATCTCATCTCCCAGCTTCAGGAAGAGGCCGAACTCGGTGAGGTCTTCTTCCACGATCACCCTGTATTCAGAATCGGTAAGGCCCGTGGCGGTGAGAAAGGTCTGGTAATTGTTGCGGAACTCGCGGTCCAATTGACCTGGATCAACTTCTTGGCCCTCCGGTGCGGTGGGCTCAAACTGGCGGCGCAATGCCCCCTCAATGCCCTCTTCACTGGGTTTGACACCCAGAGAGGTCGCCTGTTGGCGTAGAATTTCCACGTTCACCAGTTCCTGCAAATACTCGAAAGGCACTCTGCTGAGATCCACTCGCCCGCCTTGGTAACGGTTGACTCCCTGCAGCACACGAATCCGCTGGACAAGATCGCCCATGGTGAATTCGACGCTGTTGACGCTGCCAGCCCATACCCGGGGGGGCCGGTAGAACTCCCAGAAGTACCCATAGACCACTACCCCGACTACTACCAGCAACAGGAAAGCTCCGATGCCCGCCGAGAAGTAGCGACGCCGGCGTTCCCGTCTCTCCGCCGGGCTCCGAGCTTCTACGTCCGGTTCGCCTCCGCTGCCGGCCCGGGCCTGGCGACGGCGGCTCGCTCTGCCCCGTGGGCCGCCGAAACGACCGGTGAGCCGGGCTAGTGCCATTGCCACATCCCGGCGCCTCTTAACGGAGCTAATTGCGCCCTTTCCAAAACCCATCCTCAAGCGGCAACGCGACGGGATGTCAGCGGCGAACGCTGGGGAAGGAGTGATGCGCTACGAACGGGATCAGGGCGATGTGCCTAGCGCGCTGGATGGCGATGCGCAATGCCCTCTGGTGCTTTGCACAGACCCCCGTGCGCCGTCGCGGTTCGATCTTCGCGCGATCCGACACGAAGCGTCGGATTTTATCGATGTCCTTGTAATCGACGATCTTGATGTGCTCGACGCAAAAGGTGCAGACCCTCCGCCGGGGAACCAAACGCCCGCGGGGCCGGCCCCCTGGCCTTCCACCCGGCCTTCCGCCTCCCGGGCCACCCTGCGGGCGGCCTCCCGGAGGCCCAGGTGGGCGTGCGCCTTGGGGTCCATCAGACGGCCTGTTTGTCGCTTCGGTAGTCATTGAAAATCCAGTACCTCAGATTTGTCGAACCGATTTCACCATGGTAGATCTTCTAGAAGGGCAAATCGTCAGTTTCATCGTAGGGCGGCGGTCCGCCGGCGTCGGCCATCCCGCGACCTCCACCATATCCCTCTCCATTTCCGCCACTGCCGCTATACTCGCCGTCGCCTCGCCGGCCCAGCATTTGCATTTCGGTGGCGGTAACCTCAAGGGAATAGCGAGGCTGGCCATCTCTGTCGGCATAGCCTCTGCCTTTAAGGCGTCCCTCAATGTAAACTTGCTGACCCCGAGTCAAATACTGGTTGCAGATCTCGGACAGCCGGCCAAATGCGCTGACGTTGAACCATTCGGTCTCTTCCCGCTGCTCACCGTCAGCCGTCCTATAGCGACGATTGGAAGCGACGCTGAAAGACGTAACCGACTGGCCGCTGGGCGTATATCGCATCTCCGGGTCGCGTCCCACATTGCCGATAACAATAATCTTGTTCACGGCGGACTCCGCTACTCAGCTGGCTGTTCGGGTTCCGGTTCTGGGGCAGGCGCGGGATCAGGGCCAGGTTCTGCCACCGGAGCAGGCTCCTCGGCTGCTGGCTGAGGCGCTTCTGCAACTGCCTCTGCCGGTGCCTGCGCGGGGGCCTCGGCTGGTGCCTGCGCAGGGGCCTCTGCAACTGCCGCAGCTCCGTCCTCTGCCGGTGCCTGCGCGGGGGCCTCGGCTGCTGGCTGAGGAGCTTCTGCAACTGCCGGAGCGGGGGCTGCTTCGCCCTCAGCCGGTGCCTGCGCGGGGGCTTGGGCCGCTCCCGGAGGGGCTCCCTGAGGCGCAGCGCCAACCGGCGGCCTCGGCGGCCGGGGGGCGCGTGTCTGCGCGGCATGGGCGGCCAGCTCTTCCTCGGAGACCGTGTTGGTAACCAGCGATCTGAGGACGTTATCGTCCAGCTTGAGATAGTTCTCGAGATCGCGGTTGAAGGACTTTTCAGCAGTGAACCGCGTGAGGTGGTAGTTTCCTTCGAGGAACTGGTACTGGCCCTTCTTGACGGGATAGGCCAGACGCCTGGTTCCCCAGCGTTCCTCGTGCACGATTTCTGCTTCGCGGTTGGTTATAAACCCCTTGATTCGCTCCCATGCCTGACCGGCTTCGTCTGGGCTGATCATTGGGCTGAGAACGACAACTAGTTCGTAGTGACGCAAAGGTTCCCCTTCAGGTTCAAATAGTTTTTGGATTATAGCATCAGGCCCTTGGGGTCTCAACTAGTCGTCGATGCCAGGCACCGGGAATCCGGCAGCGAGCTCACGTACTTCGTCGGCCACTTGGCGGTGAACCTGTTCGTTGTTTATGTCTCTCAGCACACGAGCCACCATCGAAGCCACCTGACCCGACTCCGTCGTGCCCATGCCACGGCTCGTGATTGCAGGGGTCCCCAGCCGCAGCCCGCTGGTCACCCGGGGAGGCCTCTGGTCGAAGGGAATGGCGTTCTTGTTGGCGATGATGCCCACAGCTTCCAATGCCTGCTCCGCCTGCCTTCCGGTGATGCCGAGGGGGGTGACATCAACCAGGAGCAGGTGGTTGTCGGTGCCACCGGAAACCAGTCGCATCCCTGCCTCGGACAACCCGGTCGCCAGCACCTGGCAGTTATCGACGACCTGGTGCGCGTACTGGGCGAACTCGGGCTTGAGGGCCTGGCCGAAACAGACCGCCTTCCCGGCAATGGTGTGCATCATCGGCCCCCCCTGCATCACGGGGAAGACGGCGAAGTCGATGTCTTTCGCCAGGTCCTCTGTGCACATGATGAAACCGCCCCGGGGCCCCCGGAGGCTTTTCTGGGTGGTGGAGGTCACTATCTGGGCATGAGGGAACGGAGACGGATGCGCCCCTCCGGCGATCAGGCCAGAGATGTGCGCCATATCCACCATCAGGTACGCCCCCACGCTGTCTGCGATGGCCCGGAAACGGGGGAAGTCTATGATCCGGGGATACGCGCTGTATCCGGCCACGATAATCTTGGGTTTGTGTTCTTGTGCCAGTTTCTCCACGGAGTCAAAGTCAATTGTCTCTGTTTCCCGGTCCACTCCGTATGAAACGAAGTTGTACAACTTGCCGGAGAAATTGACCTTCGCGCCGTGGGTGAGATGGCCGCCATGGTCCAACTGCATCCCCATCACCGTTTCGCCCGGCTCCAGCAGGGCGAAGTAGACCGCCATGTTCGCTTGCGCGCCACTGTGCGGCTGCACATTGGCATGCTCCCCTCCAAAGAGATCCTTGGCCCTCTCTATGGCCAGACTCTCCAAGACGTCAACATGCTCGCATCCCCCGTAGTAACGGCGCCCTGGGTAGCCCTCGGCGTATTTGTTGCTGACAACGCTTGAACCCGACGCCAATACAGCTTTGCTGGCGTAATTTTCTGAAGCGATGAGTACTATGGATTCACGCTGCCTGCGGTCTTCGCCCTCCAGGGCTGCGGCTATCTCCGGGTCCAGTTCAGCTAACGAAGGCATCTCCTTCTCCAAACACAACAATTACTCGAATCAATCAGTAACTGCTTGATTCTTACAAATACTGGCTGAAATTCAGTCTACGGTTGGCCGCATAAAGCTGTCAACGAAGAGAAGAAGAGGGCGAGTGCCCACGCAACGGAAACCCTTCCTCACCTAGCCGACGATTTAGAAACTATCTCAAAGCAACTGCGCTCTGCGCTCTGATGGCACCGAGCAGGTACCAGCAAGTGCCACTGGATTCCCGCTTTCTCGGGAATGACGGTCTGGTGGCCGCAGGTAGTTTTGAGATAGTTCCTTATGAAATTCAGTCCATTCGCGACCGCAACTCGTTACTCAAACAAAAGCGCCACTATGCGCAAGGTGCGCTATCCCTTTTTCCCCTTTTTCGACCCAGAAGATCCGTCTACGAAAACAGCCTGAATCTTGACGATAACAATCACTCTGGTAAAATTCTGCCCACCACTGGCAATTCAAGTAGGACGCCAGTGTTCAGAGCAGCTTCGCTAATAGTCCATGTGGAATCCGACAAGCCGACTAGGTTGGTCAGATTTCAGGCCTGGAGACGGACAGAGTCCATGAACGGTACTTGGGAACTGCCCGAAGCGCAGGCGGTGCTGGAAGTTTCCATGGACGACGGCGCTCTCATATATGTTCGTCGGCATGGCAATCCGTACGGCCCCAGGATGCTCCTCAGCCACGGTTGCGGCCTGTCTATAGACACCTACTTTCCCTACTGGTCCCTTCTTCAAGACAAGTTTGACCTGTTTCTCTTCGATCTGCGCAGCCACGGCTGGAATCCCCCCGGGCCTCGCAATGCACAGAATATCCCCACTTTCGTACGGGACTGCGAGACTATTCTCAGGGCCATCGGTCGGAATTTCGATGAGCGGCCGGTCGCAGGAGTTTTCCACTCCCTTTCAGCACTTGTAGCGCTCCTGCACGAAGAACAGTGGAAGGGTTTTTCGAGCCTGGTTCTGTTTGATCCTCCGATCCGGCCTCCGGGGGGAAAGCCCGAAGACCTGGCGGAAATGGGTGAAGAGATGAGCGCCATCGCCCGCCGTCGGCGCGAGCAGTTCGAGACGCGCGAAGAGTTCGCCAACCGCCTGTACCGGTCCCGAAACCACCGTCGGCTCCTTCCGGGCGTTCCTGAGCTCATGGCCGAGACCACCCTTAGGCCCGCCCCTGGCGGATCGGGCTATGAGTTGTGCTGCCCGGGGGAATACGAGGCCCAGGTCTATGAATACCTGTTTGGCTGGGCGATGCGGGTTGACCTGCAGAAAATCTCCTGCCCCGTAAAGGCAATCGGTACCGACCCAACCGAACCCTACTCGTTCATGCCGAGCATGGACCTTCGGGAACTCATCGGGCTGGACTATGACTTCCTGCCTGAGACTACCCATTTTCTGCAAATGGAAAAGCCCGCCGAGTGCGCCGCCATGACAGTGAGTTTCCTTCAAGGTCTGGAAACCATATAGCTCTGCACGCGCGGTCGCGGCTCAAGCCAGGTGTATAATTCTGGGTAACCGGAAAATGGGGCTTATTGAATGGCAGGAGACTACGACGTTGCAATAATCGGCGGCGGCCTCGCTGGCATGACCGCAGGTCTGTACTCCGCTCGCTACGGATTGCGTACCGCTGTTATCGAACGGATGATGGGTGGGGCCTCCATCATCAATGTTGATAAGGTGGAGAACTTCCCCGGGTTCCCTGAAGGCGTCATGGGGGCCGACCTGGCTGCCATGATCCAGGAACAGACCATGAATGCCGGGGCTGATTTCGTAATGGGCGAAGTGTCCGGCATCACGGAGCGTGGTGAATACCGGATCGTCAACTCGGACGCTGGGGACATTCAGTCCAAGGCCGTGATTGTCGCCGCCGGTTCTACACCAGGCTACTGGGAATCCCTGGAGAAGAAGAGTTCATGGGGCGGGGCGTCTCCCAGTGCGCCACCTGCGACGGTCCCCTGTACAGCGGCGAGGTGGTTGGTATCGTAGGCGGCGGCGACTCGGCAGCCGACGAAGCCCTAGTGCTGGCCCAATACGCCGACAGGGTCCTGCTCTTCCACCGGCGCGGCGAGCTGCGGGCCCAGCAGGAACTGTCAAACCGGGTGATGGCCGAACCCAAAATCGAAGTCCACTGGAACTCGGTCATAGAGGAAGTCCTCGGCGAAGACACCGTTTCCGGGGTTCGCACCACCAACCTGTCCACCGGCACTCCGGAAGTTGTCGAGCTTTCCGGATTGTTCGTCTACGTTGGCCTGACTCCCAACTCCGGCATAGTCGGCGGCCTCTTGGAGACCGACGGCGGCGGGCACATCCCGGTCAATGTCTCTATGGAGACCTTGTTGCCCGGCGTCTACGCCGTCGGCGACATCCGACAATACTCGTCGTCGCAGCTCGTTTCAGCAGCTGGCGACGGCGCTACCGCGGCCATCGCTGCATACCGATACATCAGCGGCAAGTCCTGGAACTGATTTATAGCCGCTATGCCAGGCTGGGCTTGCACCCCATCGGTTCATGCTTTCAACAATTTAACTAAGGGACAGCCAAGTCAAGGAGATAGACCATGGCGACCGAATATGTTGACCTCGTAGATGAGCAGCTGAGAAACAGCAAGACCATCGCAGTGGTCGGTCTTTCCAACAACCCCGACCGCGACAGCCACCGGGTCGCAAGCTACCTGCAGAGTCAGGGCTACCGCATCATTCCTGTGAACCCGGTCATCGAGGAGGCCCTGGGAGAGAAGAGCTATCCAGACCTGAAATCGGTGCCTGAGTCCATCGACATGGTCGACGTCTTCCGTCGTTCTGATCAGGTCCCGCCCGTGGTGGACGAAGCAATCGAAGTGGGGGCCAGGTACATTTGGATGCAAGATGGGGTGATCAACGAGGAAGCCAAGGGCCAAGGCAGAGGCCGCCGGCATCCCGGTAGTCATGAACGACTGCGCTCTCCGCCAGCACCGCCGCCGCTTCGGCCGAGGGTGAACCTGCCTTCGACTGCCTGTAAGAACCGATGGGCGGGTTGAAATCCCGCCCATTTTGCTTTTCGAGATCGATTCAAATCTGGATGTTGTCCCTTTTCCGCCGGGATTAGGGAGAAGATAGACAATCTAAACTTGGAATCATTATAATCTGCCTCAGAACTAGGCTGCGTGCGCCGGTCGTCCCAACGTGTCCGGTCGCAGCCTTTACCCCCGGAGCTACACCGGCCAGACTACAAGGCAGGAGAGGCATTCATGGCCAACCAAGATATTGAGCTTATGGCTCATCTCATGCGCCGCGCCGGGTTTGGCGCCACCTACGAGGAAGTCGAACGCCGGGTGGCAGCAGGTTACGAGGCCACCGTCGAAGAGTTCCTATCTCCCCTGGAACAGCCCGACTTGGACAAGCCCCTGCTGGAGCGCTATTTCGTCGACTGGAAGGAGATGAACGCACTGGAAGTCAACCAGGCGTATCTGACCTACCGCATGATCAACACCCAGCGCCCGCTGCAGGAAAAAGTCACCCTGTTCTGGCACGGCATCTTCTGCACCGGCAAAACTCAAAGTGCGAGCATGGCCGCCAGATCCAGGACCAGCTGGATATGTTCCGGGCACTGGGCATGGGCAGCATGCGCGACCTGCTGCTTGAGCTGTCCCGCGACCCGGCTATGGTCTTTTACCTGGACAATTGCATGAGCCACAAGGACGCCATCAACGAGAACTGGGGCCGCGAGCTTCTGGAACTCTTCTCGATGGGCGTCGGCATGGATGGCCACGCCAACTATTCGGAGGATGACGTCAAGGAAGCCGCCCGTGCATTTACCGGGTGGACCATCACCAACGCCATCCCGCGTTATCCCTATGGGCGCTATACCTCCCAGTTCGTATTTAATCCCGCGGACCATGACCAGGATGAAAAGACCTTCCTCGGCGAGACCGGTAACCTCAACGGCGAAGAGATAATCGACATAATCGCCCGCCAGCCGGCCACTGCCCGGTTCGTCGCCCGCCACCTGTATAACTACTTCGTGGCCGACGAGCCGCAGGTTCCCGCCTGGCAGGAGACCCCGCCACGCGACCCCGAAAGCCATCAAGATGCTGGAGGACGCCTACTTCGAGTCCAACTACAGCATCACTGCCATGCTCCGGACGCTGTTCAACTCCGAATTCTTCAAGAACGCCCGCTTTGCCAAGGTCAAGAGCCCTGCGGAGACCGTTGCCGGTACCATGCGCCTGGTGCAGGACTTCACCCACCCGAAGCCCGGCCTGCATCCCATCGCCATGGAAATTCGTTACATGGGCCAGGACCTGATGAACCCGCCCACTGTTGAGGGCTGGCACACCGGCGCCGAGTGGATCGACAGCGGCACGCTGGTAGAGCGCATCAACTTTGCCGCAGACCAGGTCGGCAACACCGCCCTGCCCGGCATTCGCGCCATCATCGACCGCCTCAGTTCCGAGAGCGTCACCGAGCCGAAGGCCTTCGTAGACCGCTGTCTCGATATGGTCGGCTCCTACCAGCTTCCCGACGAGACCCGTGACTATCTGGTTGACTTCATTGAGAAGGGAGGAGCCCTGGAGACCGGCACCGAGGACTATGCCCGCCGCGTCGGCCAGACCCTCCAGCTCATCGTCGCCACCCAGGAATTCCAGTTCGCATAGCAGGCTAACAATGTAGGGACGCCCGTTATGGGCGTCCCTAGCCCGCAACCCTGGGGAGCCCACAAGGGCTGCCCCTATGAAAACATCAACCGGGTAAGGTCGGACATGGGCAGACTGGACGGCAAGGTGGTACTGATCAGCGGCGGCGCCAGGGGACAGGGGGCCGTCGAAGCACGCATGATGGCCCAGGAAGGTGCCAGGGTCGTCATCGGGGACATCCTCGACGACCTGGGAAGACAGGTGGAGGCCGAATTGGCCGAAGCTGGGTTGGACGTTACCTACGTCCACCTCGATGTCACCAGCGAGGACGACTGGAGCGCCGCGGTGTCCACCGCCGTCTCCGCCTACGGGCACCTGGATACGCTGGTCAACAACGCCGGCATCCTCATCCGCAAGGGGATCGAGGATACCACGGTGGAGGACTGGGACCGGATCATGGACATCAATGCCAAGGGAGTTTTCCTTGGCACGAAGGCCGCCATTCCCGCCATGCAGGAGGTCGGCGGCGGGTCCATCGTCAATATCTCGTCCACCGCCGGGCTGGTGGGAAGCCCCGAGGGTTCCCCCAGCTACACCGCCACCAAGGGCGCCGTTCGCCTGCTGACCAAGTCCACCGCCATCCAATACGCCGGCGACAACATTCGCTGCAACTCGGTGCATCCCGGCCCCATCGATACCGAGATGATCCGGGATTCCTTTTCCGACCCTGAACGCTGGGAGGCTCGGATGCGCCGCCTCCCCCTCAAGCGGGTGGGAACGCCAGAGGACATCGCCTACGGCGTGATCTACCTTGCATCCAACGAATCGTCCTTCGTGACCGGCTCAGAGCTGGTCATCGACGGCGGCACTACCGCAGAGTAGCGACCGCCGCGAACCGAAAACAGCACGGCTACAAGAGACCTTACAAGGAGTGGCCAGACAATGACTTCAACCAAGAAAGACCCCGTCCTGGTGGTTTTGCAACTCTCCGGCGGCAACGACGCCGTCAACACCTTGATTCCATACGGCGACCCGCTCTATGCCGACAATCGCCCCACCGTGCGCGTGTCCGAAGAGCAGGTTCTGCGACTCAATGACTATGTCGGCTTCAACCCAGCCATGGGCCCCCTGAAGGACCTCTACGACCAGGGGAAGGTCGCGGTCATACAGGGCGTCGGCTACCCCAACCCCAACCGCTCTCACTTCCGCTCAATGGACATCTGGCACACCTGCGAGCCGGACAAGGTCGGCACCGAGGGCTGGATAGGCCGCGCCATCCGCGACATCGACCCCAAGGCTGAGAATGTGCTGACCGGCGTCAACTTCGGCCGCGGCCTTCCCCGCTCCATGGCTGCCCCGCAGGTCCCCGTTGCCTCCGTCGGCAACCTGGAGACCTACGGCGTGCTGACCGGCATCGAGGAAGAGGAGCGCGACGAAGCCCTGGACCTCTTCTCCCGCATGTACTCCCCGGCCGTGGGCCGCGGCTCCGTGGTCGACTACCTGTCCCACACAGGCATGGACGCGCTGAAGGGCGCCGACATCCTTGCCACCGCCCCCAGAAATGTACAACTCCACGGTCGAGTACGGTAACGACTCGGTGGCCCAGTACATGCGCAACATAGCCATGGTTCACCTGGCCAACCTGGGCACCCGCTTCCTGTACACCACCGCCCCCTACAACAGCTTCGACACCCACGCCGGTGAGCTCAGCGCCCACTCCAAGCTGTGGACCGACACCTCCCGCGCCGTTTCGAACTTCTACCAGGACATCAGCGAGAAGGCGGCCAGCGACAATGTCGTGCTGCTGGTATTCACCGAGTTCGGCCGACGCGTCCATGACAACGGCTCCGGCACAGACCACGGTTCCGGTGGCGTCGCCTTCATCGTCGGCGATCATATCAAGGGCGGCCTCTACGGCGAATACCCCTCGATGGCTCCAGAGAAGTTGCTGGAAGGCGACCTGCACTTCAACAACGACTTCCGCGGCCTGTACTCCACCCTGCTGGAGCAGTGGATGGGCCTGGACGCCAAGCCGATCGTCGGCGGGACCTTCGAGCAGATGGACTTCATCGCCGCCTAGATTCCGCCGGGTACCCCGACCCTCGTTCCCTCCCCTTCAGGGGGAGGGTCGGGATGGGGATGGATCCTTCGGCAGGGAATCGGCAGGCGACACTCGAATCAAGCGAGGTAACGATGGCTACACAGACTCTGGGCATAACCTTCCAATACAGCCATACCATCGGGCGCGGCGAGTTCTCCGGCCCCGGCTTCCGCAACCCCGTCGCCGTCGCCCGAGGCGAGGACGACTCGATCTATGTCGTCAACCGCTCTTACGAATACCGCCCCGACGGCAAGCGCATCACCATCTGCACCGTTGACGAGGACTATGTCGGCGAGTTCGCCCGCGGCGTCCATACCGCCGGCGAGACCGAGGAAAACGAAAACGACGGCTCTCTCATCTGGCCCACCTCAGTCGCCATCGACAGCAAGGGCAATGTCTATGTCGCCGACGAGTGGGTGAACCGCATTTCCATGTTCGACCGCGACGGCGAATGGCTGGGCAAATGGGGCACAAAGGGCAGCGGCGACGGTGAGCTCGACGGCCCCTCCGGCATGGCCTTCGACGCCGACGACAACGTGTATGTCGTCGACAGCAAGAACCATCGCGTCCAGAAGTTCACCCCCGACGGCCAGTTCCTCGCCAAGTTTGGATCCGAGGGAACCGGCGAAGGCGAGCTGGGCCTCCCTTGGGGCATCTCAATCGACAAGGCCGGCGATATCTTCATCGCCGACTGGCGCAACGACCGGATTCAGAAGTTCAACGCCGACGGCCGGTTCCTGCAGTCCTACGGCGAGGGCGACCTGAGCCGCCCGACCAGCGTCGACACTGACAGCCAGGGGCTGATCTATGTTGCCGACTGGGGCAACGAGAAGGTCCGGATTTACAGCCCCGAAGGCGATCTGGTTTCCACCCTAACTGGCGACGCCACCATCTCCAAGTGGGGCAAGGACAAGCTGGACGCCAACTCAGAGATGTGGTACGAGCGGGAGATCGCCCAAGGCATCGAGCGCGAGAAGGACTTCTGGGGCGTCTGCTATGTCGAAGTGGACGATCAGGACCGCTTGTTCGCGGTGGAGTCCTGCCGAAACAGGATCCAGATTTATCGCAAGCAGCAGCCCATGTTCTTCGGGGGGCGCCTCTAGGCCGCTCTCTTCCCCATCGTAGGTTTCAAACAATGGGAAGGGAGGACTGGTCCCCCTTCCCATCGCTTTTAATATGAAATTCGCCTGTAACCGGGAGGCCGGGGTTGGCGGCAGTAGAGATGTTTTGACAACACCAGAACAGCTGGCTTCAAAGCTCAAAACCTTGGGGATTCGACAAACACCCCAGCGACTCGCCATCG